CATCCATACAACTGATGAAGAGATGACAATGTGCATCCAAGGTGGACCGCATCAAAAGTATTTTAGTAAATTTTTATTAAAAGACAATGGGTTTTTACAGAAAACAAATATGTTTGTTAGGCCAAAAGATCAGAATCTAAACCTAAAATTCAAATGAAACTTGATGTCCAATGCGCAATGACATAATCAACAAAAATCGAAACAGTAATACAATTAGTAACAAAACAAAACTATAAACGTCATTCAAAATTACTACTAATTTTAATCTTCGCGTAATATTCAGAAAATTCACTTGCTAAAAATCCAATAATCCATTTGAGAAACCTTGTCGCTGTAAAATCCATTCAATAGTTTAAAAAATATATCATGTTGAGTTTCAATGGATTAGTTTTTGTAGATGAAAATATCAAAATAAATTAATTGAATTTATTTATTGCACAAAGTTCAGATAGTTAATATTACTCAATTAGCAAAAAAAAAAAAAATGCATCAGATGAAAGTATGTTGTGGAAATATTATACAATAAATTTCCGAATAATATGCATTTATTTATCTTAGGAATATTCCAAAGCACATAACAGACATGCAAAACGTGAACATGATATTATGTAATAATACTAATAAAATAGTATTTTGTAACTTTTATGCACTACTCCACTGCTGCAGCTGCAGTGATTGCAATAAGCAAACTCCTAAATACTACTATCCTACTATTCTAGATATTAAATGTTATTGTACAATAGACGGGTGTTATTTAGAGGAACGACAGGGTGTGCGACGGCACCACTAACATAATAGTGTACTTAATTGGCCCTCCATTAATGCTCCTATGCGCCGATATGATTATTTATTTATTTATTTATTTTATTTTAATACGGGCCTCAGCCCAAAGTACAGAAAATAAAATTACACATTATAAGTGAATAGTAGACATAACAATTAAAATAGAAAAAGAAATGAGACAAAAGAAAATAATTACAAAACTAAACTTAAAAACTAAAATACGGATCCTCATTAGCAATACGCATCATTCTATTTAGTGGTTTGTTTCGTGAATAATTTATCGTACACAGCGGAATACTGAAAGGATAGGAAGAACGGACCTGGACACAGGGAATTTTAAAGTTTACTTTGGATAGAAGTTCTGTACAGTCGATCGACCCATTTATGAGTTTGACTAGGAAGACCTTGTTAATGGTGATACGTCTATCGGCCAAAGACTGTAAGCCTAGCYTATYTATTACTGCATCATAAWCATGAGGTCTATGTTCAATATTTAATAGATATGCTGSAAARCTCAAAAACTTCCGYTGGACTCTTTCAAGTTGATTCATATTGCTTGTGTTGTGAGGGTTCCATATAATAATTACAGAAAATTCAAGAATAGATCTGATGAGCGCACAATATGCTTTACAGCTTTACAGCATGTCGTATTTATATGGTTATGAAAATTTAAGTTACTATCATAGAAAACACCGAGGTCTTTCACAGTATTCGATTCAATAACAAGATAGGTTCCACAAAGTGAATATTTAAAATCCAAGTGAGTCCGACCTCTATAAAAAGCTTTTGAGCAACATTTGGAGACATTAAAATCCAAACCAATATTTACAGCCCAGGCGTCCAGTGCCCACAAGTTATTTTGAAGTAATTGACAGTCATGTACTGAGCAAATTTCTAGAAATAGCTTTAAGTCATCTGCAAATAGTAAGAATTTACTGTGGCGAATAACTTTCTTTATGTCATTAATAAACAAAATAAAAAGTAATGGGGAAAGATGGCCACCCTGAGGTACCCCTCACGGCGTGTTTAATACCTGTGATTTAATACCAAATACTTTTATGAGTTGCTTGCGATCGGATAGATAAGAGCTAAACCATAATAACAAAGGCTCCTCAAAACCACTACTGGCAAGGACTTTCATAAGAACAGCATGGTTAACCCTATCAAAGGCTTTACTGAAGTCGGTGTAAATTACGTCAACCCGATTCTTTTTTGCAAAGGCATCAAACACATAATCAGTGAACACTAGATTGCATGTGTTAACTGACCGATTAGGGCGAAACCCATGTTGCTCATCTATTATGATTTGATTTACCGCAGATTGGATAGAATTTAAGACTAAGGATTCAAACAGTTTACTTATATGACTGATGATAGTTATTGGCCTATAGTTAGCTACATTARAAATATCACCAGATTTAAATATCGGCGTTATGGAACTAAGTTTGAGTATTTCAGGGTAGGATCTTGAATCAAGAGATTTTCGAAATAGAAGCCATAAAGGGAAACATATAGACGATCTGATCGAGAATAAGAAATCACCTGAGATACCATCCGGGCCAATAGAATTATTTCCTTTCAGGCGTGATAAACCTTTTTCAACATCTGATATATCAAAGAAACAGTTGCTCGGAAGATCATGAATAAGGGATTGGGATAACTCAGTTTTATAGTTGATATTTGACACAGAATATACAGAATTTAAATGTTTAGAGAAAAAGTCCACTGTTTCATTATTATTTTTACTCATAATACCATTGAGCGTGACAGTCCTGGGAATAGACTGACCTGTTTTATTCTTTCCAACAAAATCCCAAAATTTAGATGGATAAGCACAAAATGTTTCTTCAGTAGAGTCGATAAATTTTTTGTAGCATTGTTTACTCAATTTTTTATATATAGCCCGAAGAAAACTGAAATTTTGATAATCATCTGGCTTGTTAATGCTCTTAAAGATTGCGTGAGCTTTTCTTTTTTGAAATACTAGATTTTGATTAGTTCTTTAGAAAACCATGAATGAAAATTAGATCGAGAAAATTTTACGTTTGGGACATGGCGCAGAATGGATAAATGTAGTGCATCAAAAAGTGCATAAGCAGCAGAAGTAATATCTAAATTAGAAAAAGTTTCTAACCAATTAAAAGATAACAAAAATTTATTAATAAGAGGATAATTTGCCTTACGGAAGTTGAAGTAGCAATGAGAAGAATCAATTTGTAGTATATTGGTGACTGGAATAAAGTCTATGGACAACGCAGGGTGCTAGCGGTCTTCTGGTACCACTGAGACCGATGCAGCTTTAACCTTATACTGATTAAGATTTACAAAGATAAGATCTAATAGTGACCCAGATTTATTAAAAATGTCATTGATCTGAAAGAAGTTATTCGATGCAAAAGTCTCCGGAAGACAATTAATAAGATAGCCAGATGTAGAAGAATAAATAAGACCATGGTTGTCATTTGACCAAGAAACATTTGGGAGATTAAAATCACCACAGAAGATAAAAAAATGGTCAAAATAAATAGAAAGTAGATTTTCAACAGTAGACATAAAGGTCTCATAGGATTGAGGAGGAGAGTTTGGAGGTAGGTAAGCACTGATAATTATATGTATACTTTTTTCCGCTTAGAGTGAAGTTCACAAACAAAGCCTCAATATTCAAACAATTAACAGGTGTTAGATATGAGGGGAGATCAATACGTATGCCAACAAGGACCCCTACACCCCTAGAACACCCACTAGTGGTGTTATTTCGGTCGCATCTAAAAATATTATAATTAAACAAATTTAGTTCACCATCAGCTATATCATTAAAAAGTCACGTTTCAGTTAATGTAATGAACAAAGGATTAGTTCGAACGAAAAGTTTTGGAGAACCATATGAGTTTCTTATAACCCAGCCATGGTCACCACTGTCATGAAGACGCTTAAGTTCAGAGCGGAGACCAGACAGCTGCTTCCGTTGATTATTAACAACAATTAATAAAACATGCGTCTAATAGGTATATATTTATTTGTTATCAGCTTTATTATCAAATGAATCCCTATTTTATAACCGTGTGTTGCACGTTTTATTGTAAAGGATAGTTTGCGCCAGTCTACTGGTATTAACTATAGAGGTGTAAGCATAGCATTCTTAATATATTATTAGTGTTTAATTTTTGAATTAAATTTATTAAAGATAATTCCTTAAAACCACATATGCTTTTATTTCTCTAAATTATAGTAAAATGGCTTTTGTTGGTCGCTAGTTGCTACTTGTTTTAGTTGCTTATAAGCGTTTAATGCATTGCACTGCTAGCTATTTGAAAATTACAATATACGTTAGTTTATATGAGTAATTTTAATTAGGATTACAAGAAGGAACGATATGATATTAACATACTTTAAACGGCATGGTTATTTTTTAAATATCAAATGCTTAAATTGGCTTGCCTACAATTTGGCACACCCGGGAAAAAAAACTGAAATGACACCCCTGGTGCAATGTTATAAAATATAAACACTGAGCGATTGAGTGTCGGCCTGAGCTCCGATTCCGCAAAAAAATGTTTAACCACGCAGTATTTTATGGTAGGTACTAGACGACGATATATTTTGTAAACATCATACTGTTCATTCCCGAGTTCGATATATTATTATACAGTAATATGAACTGTGTTATTATTATGGTTGATGGATGTATACACACCATAAATGATTGACTTCTTTAATACATGTTAAACGCTCAGAATTTTTTAAACCGTATACGGACTACGGAGACACGCATTATTTGAACTCCTAAGTCTGCTGCAGCATATAAATGTACCGGATTACTTGACTACTATATTACTATAATATAATATATATATGTACGATGTTTGTTTAGTGATCGTTAAACTTTCACTTTTAAGTCCCTAACCCTATTTGACATATAACATGCTGTGTAATGATATTTTAAATGTCGTTTTAATGGGCATACCATTACCGATTTTTCCAGGTCGTAAGGATACATACGAAATTATTTTTAATGTTCTCCATGATAAATAACTCATTTAACACGAGACATCTGTTCTATTTTCTGATATAACTAAATTTACACACTATAGCTATCACTCATTACTAGAGTTAGGAAAATGACAGAAAACAACTAAAAGAAATTATCTTAAAATAATTTAAAAGTTACCTGAAACTCAACAAAGTAAAAAAAAAATGCGAAAAAATGTAAAATAAAAACTATTCACTTGAAATCGTAGTAGATGCCCAATCTCATTTTGGGCTTGAAAATCTATATCCTGTATAACATAAAGAAATTCAAAATCCTATATGGCTATACTTCTCTATACTCATSACTAAAATAGTAATACATTCATATTACATCTATAAACATTTTTACTCTTCGATATGACTGTTAATGTGTGCATAATACCATAATACACCTAAATAGCCATATATATATAGGTACTAAATGTTCGTCATATTATATTGGTCAATATATTAAAATATGTTGATGAGTATCTACTCATATTATTATATCAAAGGTCGAAGATAGATCGGAGTTTATTAACCCCAATACATAAGTACTTAATAATAAGTGTTTGTCATATTAAATACAAATCAATACCTACATGCATACATTAATAAGAAAATAAAAATAATGTTCATACCGAGTGATCAATAAGTAACTCCTTTAGTCCGAATGGTTGGTTTGGCTGATTTTTTGGATTATATACCTTTTTGATCATTAACGATATAATGTATTATTTAGGTATATTAAAATGAATGTTAAAAACAGATCAAGGAGATCTATTTATTTCATCCCCTCCTACATGATTGCCTACCATTTTTTGTATTATAATATTACGTAGGTATTCAACAATTTTACACTTTGTGTATATTATTATTAGTATGAAGATTTCCTTTCCTTATTGATTAAATTACATTTAAAAATGAATATTTGATTGTTTATTATCTATAGACTCAAAAACTACATGACTACTATCGTAATAGTATATAATATCAAAATCATATCTACAACTTCGTTTACTTTTGCTAGCAATAAGTTAATATTATAAGAAAAAAGTTACTTACAATCCACTGCAGATGGGTTACGTATCTCAATTTCCGGATTGGTAAATTGGGTTCCAAATGACCATCATAACTCGGTAAATTGAGTCCCGTGAAAGAAAGGAAGTAAGTCCCGCCGTCCTGGCTAGTAATTAAACAAATTAAAATTAAATTATAATATTATTATTATATATTATGTACTATATTATTTTATTATATTATTATATACTTTATTTATATTGATTAAAAATAGTAAAAATACAAATTAATTTAAAAAAAAAAAAAAATAAAGTTTCATTATTATTATCATATAGGGGAGCAAATAACCAAATATACCAGTAATGTTTTAACCCAATTTGAGTTTATTAAGTCAATATAAATTAGTATAATCTTATGAAATTTAGTTTTAAGTTTTTTAATTAGTAGCTGGTACCTAAATATTTTTTTTTTGCGGGATCCAACTTATCTACTACCTGTTTTTTTTCCCCAGGACTCAACTTACCGTCTTCAAAATGTACYAAACTTATCTCGGACCCAATTTACCTAACCACTCAATTTCAATAATCCTCGGTCAACGGCGTGTGATGCTACATTTATTTTTATGTTATCATAATATAATTCTATGTCTTTCATTTTTATTTCTAGATTGTTTGCTAAAAAAAATTGTCATAAACTTGTTAGGATGTGTACATATTGTACTGAATTACCCCATCGATATTACTTGTATATTTATAAGATAATCATCATTCAGGTTATGTCACTGAAGTCTGAAGTTATGACATGCAGAACATTAACTGTGTTAACTGTAATTAGTTTATTTTAAATAATTACGAGCTATTACACTGTTGTACAAGTGTTATGTTTTAGCATTTTTTATTTTCTATCAATCAATATGACTTGTTCCACTAGTGTAATTATTATAAATTATTATTTGAACGATATTTAAGTTAGTTTACTGTTCATATAACAAATTAACAATCATTAATATATGTAATTCATTATAATATGTATATATGTCATTTGTGTATGTAGTATTAAATATTATGTAGGTAGTCTAGGTAGGTACTTTTCAAAGATGATTATTTACAACCATAGTTCCGATTTATATAGGTAATATGTTTTAACGGCTACCACGAGGTCACTCATCATTTTGTCGAAAACGAATTAGAAAATGCACCTGAATGATTGCTTGGTATGCGGACGTCGATTTCATGATGTTGTATATATTATATAGTTTGTCACTACAACTTTCTGTAGTTACTCGCAACTTTTTGTAGCAACTTGTTACTTTCTTCAAAACTAAATTATAGTATGGGATATTTCAAAAGAATACATTATTTCTTAAGTATAGCTGGCGCCCGAATATAATTTTAAAAAAAAATTGTCAAACAGAGCTGTATGAAAAAGAAGAAACTTTTAAATCTATTTAGATCCAATAAAGTTTTATAGTTCTTATGAAGAGAATTTTATTTGCTTATAATACCTATATTCTTATTTTTTGCAAGCTCCAACAAAAAATCATATAACTTTGGTACGAAAAATAATTAAATGTATAAAATATATAAAATATATATATCTACCTGATAACTGATATTATGTCATATATTATATTTTTGTGTTGCAAAATAGTTATTAATAAATATGATATTTCAATCAGGAGCGTGACACAAGTAAAACATATTTTCATCGAGGCACCAATACTTACACGTAGACTATGGCGTCTATGACCTCTCACGATAAGTGCACATTGGCGCCTTAACAGCTTTATTAACATTTGATACTTTTTCTTAGTAGTAACATTTTGTATTTTAAATTTTTCAAAAAGAATACGTTGTTAGAAGTATATTGTTATCGTGAAGGTTACGAAAACGCATTATTATAACGCATATTATTATTAGTATAACATTATTATACTCTTCTAGTTGCTTCTATCAAGGTATAAATATATTTTGTAAKATAGTCAAGTATTACAGAATATCTAATATTATTCTATAATAGTCAAAATTAGTTCAAAATCGATATTTGCTATTGTTTATTTATACATTATTCCACAAAAATATCGCTGATATTCAAGAGAGAACTACTAACTACTACACAAACTAAAATAAACTACAAAATATCAGGTAATCTAAAAGATAAATAATTCCCTACAGAATACTAACATAAATCCGTGGTGCCGTGTAGTTGGATGACAGACATTCAATTGATGCTTATTTTGGATTAAATTCGTTCGATCGAGCGTAACGACTAACCAATTTTCAATCTCGACGTGATGCCAAAATCTTTAGTGAGTTTTGAATTTCAAGATGAAAGAAAAGTCTAAATTCATCATGTTTTGAGATTCACGGTAATGAATAAAAATAGATTTATGGCTATTGTTTTTTTGATTTAGGGGCCTATAATTGGTTGTGGATCATCATCGATGAAAACGAACAAAATTAAGTTCTGTTCTTCTTTCAATTTAATATTATTTAATAGATATAACAAATTAGCTATATTAAGCATATATTATACACACGTTTCATTTTACCTAAATATTAACAATTAAGAAATATTATCATTACCATCATTTATAAATATAATAAAATTCTATAATATTATATAAAATTGATCAATTGTATTACTCTCATTAGGCAATTTCTACAGCATATCAGTTTTTTTTGTTTTGTCGTGTGAAATAGTCATTTTTATTGTGTGATATCCATAATTGACGCAATCTTTCACAAACGGAAAAACACTGATTAAAATAAAACCGATCGTATTAAAGGCGATAACATTTTCATATTAGAATTATGTACTATTTAGTAGCAGTATAAACTTACAATAAATATATTTATTTTAGTAGTCAGTTATACTCCAGAATTAATTTAAATTTGATCAATGAACGTCATTGTGAAATTTTCAATTAGAGAAAAACATTCAAATGAACGATATTACTTATAGCCAGAGAATGTACGTGGGAAAGAGATAGTATCCATKTGATGTGTGCAACAAGTCGTTTATCACATATCTGTATCTGTATGTTGGAAAACTGAGGAGAAAGAACCTCAGCTATTTACTATTACTAAAACATAATAGTGATAATAATAATAATCCACCTTATTCAATTAAGCCTTGGATAAAGCTATAAGGGAGTTGCAATCAGAAACAACTGGGATAACGATAGGAAAACAGCGTATACAAGTACTTAGTTTTGCCGATGATCTAAATATCCTAGAAAACTCCCTGGAAAATACGGAAAAAGCAGCGCAAGTGCTCGAACGAGCAAACAGTAAAATAGGTCTAAAAATTAATATGGATAAAACAAAAATAATGGAACTTCTAGGCGAGAAGTACAACACTGATACGGGATCCCTAGCTTTCGAAAAGGTTAATGAATTTCGGTACTTAGGTACATTACTGAGTAAAAACAATGATTGGGCTAGGGAAATAGGTGTAAGGGATAATAAAATCAGAAAGAGCAGTATCGGCCTTGAATAAGTTCTTAAAGTCAACAGTATTTTCCAAAAAAAACACTCAAGTATGGGTGCGAGGCATGGACTATACGTATGATAATGAAAAAAGAACATGGAGGAGAAAATATAATAAAGAAATGCAGGCACCTGCAGAAATAGCACCTGGAAATATGGAAATAGGCTGGGCCACATGTGGCGGCGTAGTGAGGACGATATAAGCAAAGTAGTCCTGGAGTGAAAGCCTACGGGAAAAAGACCTCGAGGGCGACCAAGGAAAAGATGGTTAGATGTAGTGGAAGAGGACCTGTACAGAATGGGAGTTCAAGATTGGAGGGAACTAGCCTAAGACAGAGACAAATGGAGAGATTTAGTGATGGCGGTGAAAACTGTTAAAAAGTACTAGAGCCATATAAAGAAGAAGAAGAAGATAACATAATAGAATTCAAGGAGTAAATATGTCTTAGTAAAAACAAAAAAATTTCTACTTTTTATAACCAATGAGTTAACAAAACTAAATATTTATAAATAATAACTATAAAATATCCGTATTTTGATTGCGAGTCAAAAAAAGTAATAAAACTCAAAACTGTTGATAATTTGAATTATTTATTTCCCCTAGGACAATAAGTTCTGCAGGGATTCTACAGCAAGTGTAAATTTATTATTTAATATTTTTATTTTTATTTCACGTCAATTTACCAAAAATAAAATGCAATATTATCACTGTCAGTAATCATTAAAAGAAATATCT